CCAACCTCATCTTGGTTTTGGTAGCTAAGAGGGTAAGGTGTCTGTAAACCTATGGATAGCTGAATTAAATCTAAATTACTACAACAGGGATGCATTCCTCGTTATCAGTGTGGTACAAATGGGCAGAATGCACATCAAACACATTTGAGACCGAATCAGACAATTACTGAAATGTAAGTATATAATTCTGCAATAGTTGCCTATTTAAACTTACGAGAAGGCTTGCTTTAAGTAACTGAATCAAAGACAGTTGCACTGTCTTTTTTTTTTTTTTTTTTTTTTTTTTTCGGAATTTCAGCATTGCATTCCAAAACCTGTTCTCTCTCACCTTGAGAGTGAAATCATCTCTGAAAGTCTTTTGGGGAATATTTTGCTAGTCTTTTCGTAAGATGTTTCTTAAGGTGCTAAGTTTTAAAGCATATAATCCTTTCAGGTACACAGAAGCTCAATTCTTTAGCCCTTGCAGTGCTGTGCACCCCCTCTGCATTACTGAAATTATTCATGAAGTTACAGGGTGGGTGAAAATCTGGCTTTTTACCTCTAAGGTGCCGCAATTATATTGGATAACATCCTTTTATACCGTTAAGTACTAATATCTTTGCAACATACTTTGCAAACAGATATTAGCGCCTCAGAACATCAGGTAATACATCAGGTCAAATTATATCTTAAAAGAACCCTTAGGCTTAAGGGAGCTCAGGATCAATGTTGTTGGAGCAACCACTTACTTCAGACACCCAGAGTGAAACACTTAGGAGTGGCTGTTAAGAGTCCCTTGAGACTTTGTTTAGCTCCATGGAGGTTATGAAGATTAATATCCACTCATTCTGAAAACTGGGTTATCGTCGTGCCCTGCAGAGTGCCCAAAGAGACACACGGACCATCAACAGCGATTTGTTATCAACGTGAAAAGGGAGAACACGGGTTATTCCCAGTCCTGTGCTCTAGCCATTCGCTTATTCTAAAATATGTAATCTTTCTTCCCTTCCTCTTAGGATAAATAACTAAATGTTACTTTTGAAAATATGACAATGTGCATTTTTCAAGCATTACAGAACAGAAAATAAGTTCATTTCTGATGACTCCACAGAATGCATGCTTCACTTCATATGGCTGAACAGACACCTCAGAATCAAGCTTGTTCTTCAAGAGTCCTTGCAAAAATAATTCAAAGCATTTTCAGTGTCTTTTATAGTCACGATTTTTCATAACTACTGCACTAAAGATGACTAGAGGGAAACCCACCCATAAAATTAAACCTCGTCAAGGCATGAGTACCGAGCCTTGGTTGTTCCCATCTGTGAATGGCTACCTGGAAAGAAATCTGACTGCTGTAATCCTGTTGTTTACAAGATACAGTGCCCAAATATTGCATAAAATACCTAGCTGGTAACTAAGCCGTAAGGTCTGGTACCATCACATCAAATATAACACTGATATTAACAACGTCAGAAGCTGTATCAGCACCGTGGTACAACAGCACCCTCTCTCAGGTCACACTGAAGAATACACAACTGCAAAAGGAATCGTCCAGACACTTTAAGAAGCTGTTTCAACCCACAACTGCTCAATATTTCCACCCAACCTGATCATAAGCAGCCGGTTTAATTAGTAACTGCTCAGTATTTCCACCCAACCTGCTTTTTGGGGGTGAAAACGACCAAAGTTTGAGCAGTTTGTACCTTCTGAAGAGCTGACATCACGCCATGGCAGAGCTGCCGCCGTCACCTGGTGACCAGTGGCCACCAAAGGCTCCCAGCTGAGCACAGCTTTAAGCAGAGCTGCCCCAAAACCTGTGAGAGGGTCCCTGCACTGCTGCTGCCAACATCCCCTCCCAGTGGGGTCTTTGTTGGATCCTCCTCCTGGTCCTGTATGAAAAGGAACTTGCCAGCTAGAGGTTAACATTTACCCCAAAATCTGCATCCACATTCAAGAGGATCCCAGAGCTAAAAGATGGAATTTAGCCACTGTTTCACAGTATTAGGAAGAATCATACAACAAAGGCACTGACCTTCACTGCAACATAAATCTAACCTCTTCCTTCACCCAAAGACCTCAAAATACTCTGCAAACAGTATGACCCTTTGCAAGAGTTCTGTTGAGAAAAACAAAACAAAACACAAAACCCGCTTTCCATTTTGTGAATTCATACTTTGATAAGGAATCCACTACTCCCCACATCTCCTTCTAGTCAGGCCTAGAAATGTGCATAAAGTCATATCTCCTAAAATGAAAGAACACAGAAGAATTAGTAGGGAAATTATATAAAGCAACTGTTCGGATGAACAATTTTAATCAGCCTTAGTGAATGGTGCTCACTAAACAGTGAATACCATTAATGCTGAAATCTTTCTCTTTCTCAGTGTGGAAGAGAACAGTAAGTTTTTCCATTACTGGAACTCACAGGGAAAAGAAACTTTAAGTACTCTGATTTGTCATCACCACGTCACCAAATGCATGACACTTTCCACAAGCAACGCCGTGCAGTGAACAGGTGTCCTAAGGAGAAGTCCACACTGATGTTTTTGGAGGGTCTAACTTGCATACTTGCCTTTAAGTCTTTAAGCCCCATACAATTGATTTCCTGATTTATTAATATTAGTACAGCGAACAGTTCATGCGAACTCTTCAAGTGACTGACATAATCTGATTCTCTGCAGGCTGGGATACATGCAAGGGACACTACAGCACGGCACAGGCTCTGAAACGCCTGGGTCTTTGATGTGAAAAGCGGTAGTAGAGACCAGGTTTACATGTTTTGACAAAAAAAAAAAAAAAAAAAAAAAAAACAACCCAAGAAATGAATTATTAATACATGACTGTGCTGCAAAATATATTTTTTTCTTTTTATCTTTCCACACTTCTCTCCCCCTGCCCTCCCACTACAACTGTGTATACTGAATTACTTTTACATTTTGGGCAGAAACTTCTGGATCATTAAGTAGGAAAAAAAAAAAAAAAAAAAAAAAAGAACCAATCCCAGAACAAACCTTCCATTATATATAAAGTAAATCTGGAAGTCCATTTATTTGATGGCAATACAGAATTTATGTTACAGTCAGAAAGTCCATAAAGTCTTAGGGAAAGCAGGATCTCACGGGAAATGAAAGAGCATGAACAAATGGGTTGTGCAAAACGATGAGATCGCAAAGTGTCAAGTCTTAACATCAAATCTGTCAACATAAAATGAAGACAATATTTACCCACAGCTCTCACAGATGTCACCATTTTGAAGGAACGAATGTTCCTTGCTATTCATTGCAGCCAAAAAGGACTATTTACTATAATGAGAAATGAAACTGATAGTGGTTTAAGAGCAGATGCTTTACAGTATCTTAACTACCACTTTAGTATATTCATAATATTTACCCTAATTATGAGATAATTCATAATATTTACTCTAATTATGAGATAATCTGAGACAATTCGCTCACTGTAGATAATAAACCAGGCAGAAACCAAGTAAAAGCAGAATGTAGAGAGAGCGAGGTGTCTCAATCCTGCAAACTGTCCTGCCTGGACATACCACAAAGCCCAGAGGACATAAAGTCATCCTGAGGTTAACAGCTGCCTATTCAGATACAAGGATTTAGCCCCACAACATGGAAAGCAAGGTCAGAGACACCATTCAGACAGTACAAAGATCCATATGCTATCAGGAGAAAGTGGCTGAAGGTGTGAAGTTTCCATTCTTGAAGATATTCAGTACCAACCCCACGTAACCTGCTCTGGCTGAACCCGCTTTGGGCGAGGGGTTCCACTGGGCAATCTCCAGCATTTCCTTCCAACCTCAGCGTCTCCACAATTCTCCAATATTCTATTCAAACACATTCTGTTTGATCTTAAGATGGACATCAACTGTCATAATCTACCATGATTCTTCTCAAAGATAAAACGCTTTGTGTTAGCAGATCTCAGGGAAGAGTTCGGGACTCATTTGCACTTTCCAAATGATTAAACAGTTGGGAAAACTTTCTAAAAATCTTCAAGTAGATTGGGGTTTTAGAGATAAATCCAGAAAGTATATGCACAGTTACAGAATTCTTATATTTAATGTTTAGGGACAGGTAAGTGATTTTTCTGCTTCTGAGCTAGAATTCTTATACTTCTATGAACACACCACTGATTGTATGTCTGTACAGCATTTTAAGGGATGCTTCATGGGTGCCTCAAACCCACTCTCTGCCCATAGACACAAGGAAATCAGCTGTGATTTAAGGATGCTCTCCAAACCAGACACTCTGTGCATCTACCCAGATGCAGCAGCTCTCCATATTCAGGTTGTACAGCACAAGATCAACGCTTGAGACTGCTATTGAAGAGTCACAGAGACTCACCAGCAAAAAGCGCTTGCTAAGAAAAACTCTTCAAAGCTCACAAAATTCTTTTCAGAATGTGCTTCGTTTTAATTCTTGCCAGCCATCAATCAAAATAAAAACACGGCATACTGAGGCTACTTCTGTTAAGGTTCTGCACAACAGAAACTTGTGTGTTTTAAGTAGTTTTGGCACAGAATCCACTTTTTGAGTTCTTTCTAATGTTCTCCAAGCGCCTCACTGGAGAAACTCTCCCACCCGCCCAAACAGCCAGCACGAAAGGGTTCCTCAGCCACCAGAGCCCTCTCTCAAACCCCTAGATCCCTGCAGAGCCTCGGCCCCTGGGCCAATACAGGGAGGAAAAGTACAAACATCGGGTTGTGACAGCTGGAAAGGGCTCAGAGCTCAAAGACAAGGGAACATTCCCCATTTTGAAGTGCCTCCAGCTGAGAGCCAAGCTCTGCTCACGTGTCGCTGGGGAAGGGAAAGCGAAAAGCTGCATCTTCTGGGCACGCAAATTGCCGAAACACGGCAAACTCCGGCAAACCGACGCCCACCGGGACAAAAATTCAGTATTTATCGAGCGGCTCCCACTGCACCGCCCTCCCCACGCTTCCCGCCCAAACCGCCCCGCCGCCATCTTGTGGCCCGGCACCCGCCCCCGCCGAACTCCATTTCCCGTGCAGCCCAGCGGCGGGGCACTACGGGAAGGCGGCGGCCACCGGCAGAGCAGGTACGGGGCGGGAACTCCCCACCGGGGTTCGGGCGGGCAGCGACCCCGAGACCCCTTCCCGCCGCGGGGGCTCCTCAGCGCTCCCCGAGGGTCGGTTCGGAGGAGGCGGCGGCGCTGGGCCGCGGCCCAGCCCTGCTGAGAGGCCGGTCCCGCCCCGCTGCCCCGCCTGCCGTCGGTGTGCGCGGAAGAGCCGCAGAACAAGGCCTGGGGAGGGGAGTTGAACACTTAACTCATCGTAACAGATAGATATATCTATATATGTTTATGCTTTCTTCGCAACAGCCATCTTTCTTCCGAGCCCCACCGCCCTCCCGAGGAAAACCAGGGCAGAATGTGGTTCTGCCTCGCCCAGCAGATGGTGAAATGAAGGGCCTCAATTAAAAGATGACAATAGATCTGTGAATAACTGAATGTGTAGTGATGTGTTAAAACTCAGATTGGTTTTAATGTGCGTTTTTACTATGTGTTTTATAGGTCAATTTCCTTAAATAGTGCCAAAGGAAAGAGGATGGAACCAGAAAATACTGCCAAGGAAACAGTCCTCATTACTGGAGGAGGTGGTTATTTTGGCTTCCGGTTAGTGTGTTACTTACTTACTAGGTACAAGAATAAACTTAATGGGTTGCTGCTGGTGAGGCAACAAAATCTGTCTGTAAACGGGAGGACTGTGGGCCTGATACAGTTCACCCCATCTGATTCATCGGGACCTCGGTTTTAAACAAACATACTATTCTGTTTCCACATGTTTTAAGTAAACATGTTATTCTGTTTCCAAATGTCAAGCATTGACTGACTCACAGACATTTACCTGGTCACCTCCGTAATGGGGGTTTAGATCCTCCTCCTCCAGCCTGCTCTGGAGAGCAAGCCTTCACTTGTCTGCAGAGCTTTGACAGTTGGCCATGGCCTGCAAATAGTGACACACGTGCTTAGCTGTAGAGATTAAATACTCCAGCTGCTCTCTACACTCAAGAATATGTTTATTTTTATGGACAGTGATGTTTTAGGATTGGAGTTGTTAATAAAGGTACCTATTTCAGTGAAATCCATCTCCCCTTACTGTAGGTGGCTCTGCAGGCCATGTAAAGAAAAAAAATCCTATTTTGAGCTATCCTCTAGAGTACTTTCAGAGTTACAACTGCTTACATAGGTGAAAGAGATTACAGTCATGACCAAAAAGTAAATTTCAAGCGCGGGTGGAAAAAAAAAACAAAACCAAAAACATACCTCAGAAGATCCCTGTCTGACTTCTGCTTGGCTTTTTCCTCCATTGTCTCACCCTTTACGTACTATAGAAATACAACAGTTGTAGGAAAGGGGAGAGAAATACCAGATTTACACTTTGTGTCAATACCTGTCTTTATACCTGTGACTCAGAGTAAAATGTAGACTTGGCAAAGTATTCGCACCAGCTTAGAAGCATCTCGCCCGTTCCTCTTCTCCATAAATTTCAAACACAATGGCAAAGACCAACCTATTGTTATGACAAAACTGGGATGGTACAAAAGCAGTAAGATAAAACCAATATTAATTTTTTAAAAAATATTCAGCTACAGGTTTACATCTGAAAGGTTTGCTGTAGCTGATCTGTAGGGGACAGAAGCAGAGTAATAGCTGGGTTCTTCCAAAAGGCTGCGTTGGTTATTTCTGTTCTTAGTTTTCCTTTACAGCAGTTCCACGTCTTTCTTTTTTTTTTTTTTTTTTTCCCCCAAAGTATCAATGGAGCATCAGTACCTAAAGTATCACAGTTGAATCTTGCCCGTAGTAGATGGCTGAATATTTAAAAGACCCCCATCAGAAAAGAAAGAAAAAACACCAGTAATAAAATAGTTAATCGTCTTCTCCTACCTCCAGGTGAAATGTTTCATGCATCATTATGCTATGTATACTAACATACGGTTTCTATCATGGTTTAGTTTAGGTTGTGCCATATACCAAAAGGGAGTTGATGTGATTCTCTTTGATGTCACGAAGCCACTTCAAACCGTGCCAGAGGGAATAAAGTTCATGCAAGGGGATGTCTGTTGCCTGTCTGCACTGGAGGAGGCTCTCAGAGATGTAATCTGCGTATTCCATATCGCTTCCTATGGAATGTCTGGCAGGGAGCAGCTGAACCGAAAACTTATAGAAGATGTTAATGTGAAAGGAACAGAAAATGTCATCCAAGCCTGCAAGAGCACAGGAGTGTCAAGTCTGGTTTATACAAGCACGTATAACGTGATATTTGGAGGCCAGATTATAGAAAATGGGGACGAATCTCTGCCTTATCTACCGCTTCACCTTCATCCAGATCACTACTCCCGGACCAAATCTGTAGCTGAAATGAAGGTGCTGGAGGCAAACGGTGCTGAGCTTGGAAACGGGAAAGGTGTGTTAAGGACCTGTGCTCTCCGACCAGCAGGCATCTATGGGCCTGGAGAACAAAGACATCTCCCAAGAATAGTTAGTTACATTGAAAGGGGACTGTTTAAATTTGTATATGGAGATCCTCTTAGTTTAGTAGAATTTGTGCACGTCGACAATCTGGTTCAGGCTCATATCCTTGCCTCCGAGGCCCTAAAAGCCAACAAAAAGCACGTAGCTGCAGGCCAAGCCTATTTTATTTCAGATGGTAGGCCTGTAAATAACTTTGAATTTTTCAGACCGTTAGTGGAAGGTTTGGGTTACAAGTTCCCAACCTGTCGTCTTCCTCTCTCCCTTGTCTATTTTTTTGCATTCCTTACTGAAATAGTTCATTTCCTTGTAGGTCACATTTATAATTTTCAGCCTCTCCTCACGCGCACAGAGGTTTACAAAACTGGGGTGACGCATTATTTTAGCATGGAGAAGGCCAGAAAGGAGCTGGGGTATGAGCCCCAGCAATACAGCCTGAACGAGGTGGTCGAGTGGTTTAGATCTCAGGGATGCGGATCGAAGCCGAGGAAATACACCACTGTGCATCTTGTGAGGGATGGAGGATTGCTCTTGCTGCTGCTGGCTCTGGTGGTCTCGTGGTTTCCATCCGCAGTTTCACTGTCACTCTGAAAAACGAAACACTGAGTGTGGAGAACAGAATTTAGTTATGGTTTCTGAGCACTTTTGCTTTTGACAGACAGGTTAAATAAAAAAACCACACCAAAACAAGAATTAATACACGTTTGTGTCATTCAGGTAAATGCCTTCAACAGTTTTATCCCTAGGAAGCAGAAATGCTGAGTAAAAAAGTGTAATTTTTAGATATGTTTCCTCTTCAGAGTAAAACTGAGCTTAGTATTACTGCAAACAGTGTTTTATTTTGGGGTACAGCAGCACACTGCAGCGAATGGAACAAGTGTCCTTAGACTGACCCTTCTTCTCCCTGATGGGATTATACTCTTCATCCCTGCCCTTTAGTCCTAAAAAGTTTGTGCTGCATGGTCCAGTGGAGAAGCAGCTGAGTCTTTGATCACATTCCAAAACCAGATTCTGCTTTCCAGCTTGGATGCATATATACCTAACCAAGATTAACTGATAAACAATAAATAAATAAATGCTTTTTTTTCTTAATTAATACATTCTGGTGTGCTTTTCTGTGTTAACTGTGATATCTAATGACATTTCTGGAAAATGCACTATGGTTAATCTAAGTTATAAGCAAAGTGCTTGAAGCAGCAGATTTGTAGATTTTTCTAACGGTAAAATATGCCTGTTTAAAATGAATGAGCTAAAGTGCATTCATAAATAAAACCTATGATTTTCCCAGCATTATTGAATGGTTAAACAAATAATCCATCAAAGATGTTTGGTAAGTCATTACATTCACATTTCACTGTTTATAGAACATTTTTAGCCTTTCACAGTATTTCTTTAACACCCAACACCATTTGAATAGAACTTTGCCTTCATAGTAGGATGTTAAATATTTGATACAATGAAACTCCTAATTTTGTGGAGTTTTAAGAACAGAAAAATAAGACGTTGTTAAGTCCAGGTCACTACTGTCTCCAGCAACTCCCTCCTCTCTGTCAGTTTGATGTAGGAAGAGAAACTGAGAAACTTCACATCAAAATGTTAAAGCACAAAGTTGTTTTCCCTTAACCCATGGGCAGTACAATTTCAGTGCTTCCCGATACAAGGATGGTCCTTCAAGAAATTCACACTTCTCTTTAAACTTTACTCTTTCCATTTTAACAGGTGAAACTATGCTGATCTTAAGTTAATTTTGTGTAAGTTCCAGTTAGTTCAGTTCTGTGAAGCTCTACTGGGATTTAAATGGGGACGTGAAGAGGAGACAGACCGTGGTTCTACTGCGCTGGTAAAGCATTCTCAGAAAACAAAAACACCCAAATAGAGAAACCAAGCTAAAAGTCCACTGCCACCTTTGTTTAGAAGATGGAGATTTTTGTACTTAATGCTGACTGAAGACAGCATTATTTTTAGGATGTTCAGTTCTTTTCCTAAAAAGTTTACCTTTAAAAGAAAAAAAAAAAAATCACTATTGATAGCTAGATGTTTTGTTTTGCTTGAAATTTGACTTCTCCTTTGTTCCCCTCCCAGTGTGTACACCGTGAAAGATGCTGTATTTAACACTTAGCTTGAGGGACAGCTCAGGAGAGAACTCAAATTGCTTTTTTTTCCTTTTTCCCCCCTATCATAGCAAACAAACTGAGGGGCCCCGGGGAGCGGTGTTTGTGTAGCAGGAGTGTTGTGTTCCCTTATAAAGGGCTTATGTGCCTCTGACAGAGCACTGGTGGCAGAAGGGCCACTTTCCAGAAGTCATTAATACACATCATCATAGCCTGCAGAAAGAAGAAAGTTTCTTTTTAATAAAACAGGAAAAAAACAGACAGTTGTGACCTTATGGAAGCATCCAGCTATGGTTCTCTTTCCGACAAGCCCTGTTTCTTAAATGAAAACCGCGTGGTAATTTTCCCCTTTAAATTCTCTAGTTTTGACACAATGTTATCAGAAGCAGATTAAGACATTTTAATGCCGGCAGAAGCTCTAGACAAAACCAAATGTACAAGAAATTGCACAAGCGCCTGTTGCACAGAACCACAGCATTGGTATTTCACACCAAGTCTTGTAAAAAGATCTTTTTAAGATAACTCTTTTATCTTTTATCTAAAATATAACTTCCAAGATAACTCCCCGAGGAATTTCTTCTGCTATTTGTGATCTTTTTATTAGCAAAACTCAGCTGCTGCCATCATCATTATCTCAATGGTGGAAAAAAAAATCTATGAAAGGGTCCTAAACTCAGGAAGCCTGAACCCGGGCTGTTGATGGTGGCTGGGGTTAAAGCCCTGGGTAGCTTTTTAGGTACAACAGAAGAGCAAAATGCTAAGGAGACAAAAAAAACCCACAAAAAACCACAAAAAAACCCCACAGTGTTTTGTCCTAACAGCCCGTGACCTGTGCTGGAGCAGGGGCTGCTAAATCAGGTCCTTGGCAGGAGAAACAGGCAGCAGCCACCCCAGGCCTCATCAGCAGCATGTCAGAATATTCCGTAATTCCCTGCCACTCAGCTCCACCTAGTAAAAAAGGCAAAGTCCTCACTACAGAAGAGCTGAAGGATACTTTTCCCCTTCCCAAAATGAAAACAGGAAATCTGTGGCTTAAGGACATACTACAAATTTGCTTTAAAATCACATATGTATAAAACCCATCACAGCTGCTCTATTTTAAGTATTTTACAATGAGAATTCTCTCCTTCCTGTTAGGTCTTTTTTTTTTACTTTTTAGTACTACTCTTGTGTGAACAGCCGAGTAAATTAAGGTAATTAATTCAAGTGTGTCTGTTTCCAAATTTTAATCTATTATCTGCTTTCCTGAAAGTGAATTACCAGAAATGCATCTAAAAACTGAAAAAGCGGAACGGAAAATATAGCACAGCTTCCATTTTTCCTAGTTCTCAAAACTCATTTAACAACTGATGGGTGCCTCACTACAAACATCAGCATCGTTCTTTAAAGTGAATAGTTTCAGAACCTTTGGTCAGGTGCTTCACCTCGCATACACAGCACATCAAGGTAAAAACTCTTCCAGACATACATGAACAATTTATACTTCTAATACATAAATATATTTATTTTAGAAGTTTAAGTATCAATCATCCCTAAAGTAGATCAGATTTTTATAGTGTCTTCTCCTAAGTGACCCTTCATTACTATTTATTAGTAATTTCCACATATTGTCAATAATGTAGTGGCATATTTAATAACTCGTGATGTGATCTTCACAAAAATGTGTCCTGAACACTCATAATTTACACACATTGTAAATGATCTAGGGATTAAATTGCAACTCAGGAGTACACAAGCGTTAAGGGAACTATTTCTGCTCTATTTTAGTCAAGCTCACGATTCCCTGTTTTGAAAGGGTAACACCTAAGAATGTCAACAAGCAATGAATCATAGAACGGTTTGGGTTGGAAAGGACCTTAAGATCATCTTGTTCCAACCCCACTCATGCTGACACACGACTGTAGCAGGATTCAACAACCGGACTTCAGCTTCTATGCCACAGTCAGAGTTTTACAACTAGTCTGGAGAATTCAAAAAGAATCTCAGGTACAAAGCTAACACCATCTCACCATGCAGATGGTTAGTTTGAGAATTGCAAAACTGAAAAAAACATGCTCACAACAGAGAAATTAACAGATGCACTGGGGTGGAAAAAAGTGAGAACATAGGCAACAAAACACCTCAATGAAGCAATTGTTTGGACTTCAGAACTTGTGCATACCAATACTCACAGATTTAAAGGTGATAAAGACCATTTGGTTCATCTCATGACCTGTGGAAGACCTAGGCTGCAGATACCTCATATTAACTCCTGCTCAATATATGTAATAATTTTTATCAAAAGACTGAGAAAAATTTTGTTCCCAAGAGTCCCAACTATGAAAAAAACCACAATAAAAAACCAGCACGCATTCACCCAGCATCACTTCTGCCCAGGCAATCAAGAGGACCTTATGCCCAGAAGTAACGCTGGTATACTTTTACGGTGAACATCAAGATAACTGAGCTTCCAAATTACTACAAACTCATCTTTGACTTGCTCAGACTTCATTGTTTGAGTTGATCCAAATCTGACGTGCGCTGGGCCTGAAGGTTGTATCTACCTATCACTGAAAAAGGTCGGTTCGGAGTTGCAAGTTAAACATGATCTTTGGCCTTTTCCTCCTGCCCTGCTTGTTTGCAGCCAGGTGAAGCGCAACGATAACCTTGTCTATGGAAACAATCAATAAGTCAGTTCATCTTAAAAACACAGAAATGCCCTTCATCCAACCTCCAGCAGAACACACCCGAATACACCAATTTTCAGTAAGAACTCACTCATACTGCCTCAAGTGACTGGCAAAATTCATGAAATTCAGTGAGCAATGCTTAAACAAAGAAGCATCTGGCATCATTCACAACACTGCTGAGATATCAAAAATTATTTATTAAAAATAAGTTATTTTAAGGATTTAAAACAGTTTCTATAAGAATACAACAATTTAACAGATATTGTTAACTTCAAAAAATTAGCCATGTTTTTCCTCCTGAATTGTAAAATTAGCACACACATCCAAACCTAATTTTACATTAAAACAGTTGCAACTGGGAAAAAGTTGCTACAGAGTCTGCCCTGATAAAGAACGGAGAGGTGAGGTTTTGGAGTTAAAACACAGAATGCAAGAAATAAGAGAAGAGTCAGTACATCGCCTTGCCCATCGCTTCAAGTGAACAAAACAGTCAATGCAGTATTTTCCTTCTGAATACAGCGTAACATTATACTCTGGGGAAAAGTCTTTCTGTAAAATTAAATGCATTTTCATAAATACAGAGGGAGTGCCTCATAACTTTTGGCATCACGTATGTGTGGAGAATGCACGCAGGACTTTTCAAAGGACTATAAAATGTGCTAATTCTTAAATATTTGCACAGCAGCAGCACAAGGAACTCCTGTGTTCGTCACACAATGGCTGTTCTGTGTCAGGAATATACACACCAACGAAAGGAGCCAGGACAAATCAACAATCTGGTTATGTCTGCTCTGGAACTAAGCTTTAAAAAAAAAAAAAAAAAAAAAAAAAAGGAAAACCCCACAAAACGAAACAAAACCCCATCACAGCAACAGCCTTGAGCTCCAGGGTTGGATCTCCCCAAGCCCAAGCATCTTGTAGTCTCCTATTTTTTGTGATCAGTCCATACCTAGCTGGTATTCAGCTGCCTATAAACCCCAACCCACCTGTAGGAACAGCCTCAGGACCTTCCAGACAGGACTTTGGGCCACCTTGTCTGATCAACACTGACAGCACCATGTTTGCACAACATTAAAAGGGAATAATGGAGGCTGCTGAATGAAGTATCACACAGGGACTGATCCTATGACAAACTAACCACGTCCTGGAACATGCTATAAAATGCACGCACACCAATGGTCCCCCTGCCTTGAGGGAGAGCAACTGGATCATCTCATTACACCTGCAGATAAACCCAGCTTTATCCAGCAGTCCAGATTACAGCTCCACCTCCCAAATCCTCAGCTTGATATGATTTTTTTCCTTATTTGAGGGAGGTTT